AAAGGCAATGAAAACTATATGTAAATTTATATATGCAATACGAGTGCGAGTACGAGACAGTGTTTTTCAAAAATATCTTGTTGACCTAACAGAGAACAGCTTTATAATATTATCAAAGGGGCATTGTTATTAGAAAATCTGTGAAAAAATATGCGTTCAGTATTTTAAATAATTCTTTATAAATAAATTATTCTTCTTGAAACCTAGAAAGGTTAGATGTTTCTGTTCTGTACATCTGTATATGCATTCCACGTAATTTGAATCTGCTAGCTCTTGTTTGTCGATGCATTACAATTATTGCGTATATGGTTGGTCTGAATACTCTTCCTCCTATTACTGTAACACCATTTTGACTCCGTGGAGTCAGCGACTCATGTCGTAACAAAAATCTCGATTTGCTAACGAATTTTATTGTTGAAAATAAATCAAATAAAAAAACTTTCACCGTTGAAAATATGTGAACTCAGATACAAAATTTGTCTGTGCTGCTTTATTTGCTGTTGGATTGAATTGAATTGTAAAATACTTTTTCGTGTTTACATTTTTATTTGGAAATAATTTACATATCGGAAGTTTTAGGAAAAAATTAGCTGAAGAGCCGCTCTGCTGCTGTACAGAAAACCAGATCTTTTGTGATCTCTATCTGATCAGCACTGACTTGGTTTACAGGTTTTCAACGAAATTTTTTACCAAAAAAAAATGAAAATTATTTTCAGTTAAGATACTTTACAGCAGTTACCAATAACGAAGCAATTAACCTTCATGTACTTAAATTTTCCGATTTTTAAATTTTGACTTTGACCCACCCTTGCGCCTATTTCAGTTAACAATAATTTTTACAATCATTATTTTAAATTTCAGTGAGTTTTCGTACCTGCAAATTGCGTATAATTAAATTGTGAGTAAATTGAAATCGAAACTTCAAGACAAGTCACGGATTCTGTTTACAGTAGTTAATGGATGCTCAGCATTCATCAGCGCCTTTGTTTGAGAAAAGGGCGTGAAACTCAATGTCAGATTTAAGATAATTTACAGTGTGATTTGCGATGAAAATTTATTTAACTGCTGCTAATAAGTAGCTTAAAAGATTTGTAGTTTTGATAATTGCAAAAGCAAGAGAAAATTTTGATTGCGTATATATTTTCGACTGTCCTGTAAATATTAAGGTATTTATTACGAAAGACAGAGAGAGAGAGAGAGAGGGAGAGAGGGAGAGGGCGGATATATCTCCACATAAATTTATTCTCATAATAACTCATGCTATTTAAGGCTCAGTTAGACGGTGGGTAACGTAAGAAATTAATTCAAAGCGAAATGCACAACCAACCAAATCTGCGTATTTGATAGGAACGAAATAAACGAAAACGGTGTACTTTGTTTATTTCGTTTCTATCAAACACACAAGTTTGGTTGGTTGTGCATTTCGCTTTGAATTAATTTCTTACGTTACGTACCGTCTACTGAGCCTTTATGCTATAACTTTAAGAGAATGGTTCACAGTTACTCAGCTGATTCGCAGTTAAACTAACACAGTTCTACAGTGAAATCAGTAATAGGACAGTTTGTATAAGTTTGCTATATAAGTCTCTTGTACATATACGAGTATCTGCATAAGGTGTTATCTCATTCGAACTGTACGAGCTATACGGTGTAGGAAATGAATCGAAGTAATATATGTATACATACGGCTATCTATTACGAATAGTCATGTCATTATATTCAATATTTAATAGCTTCAATGAATGGTAAACAAAAGGATGATATTATTTAAAATATCTAGAATAGGCCTAGGAATTTCTATCTATATTTGTAAATTATTATTGAAAAAAAGTGTTATCAAACCATCCTAGTCGAACGAATGTATTTGTCTAAAGTCTAGGTTAATATGACCGAAACATTGCTGAGGTTGTGACTTAAGCGGGTATTACACATCATATTTGGTACGTTGAAATGCGAAATTTGTGCTAAGTCTCATGTATTATTATGACATGTTCTATTAATTATAATCACAATTCAAGAACTTAGTCTATTCACATATGCATTCCAGACACCCCTACGTCGTTACCCATTCGTTCCATTCCTATCCGAAGCTACTCTTGTAAATATTCGAATCATTTAGATGTCAAATACAGTGGCTGATTAGACCAAAGCATCCTATTTCGGTAGCTTGCATAAAAGTTGTTAGATCCCGGGCCTTCGAACCTGCTCCAATCGTTATGTGGCAATTGTTATTTCCCTAATAACCAGATGTTGTTGAAAAGTTATACCGCTGAACACTCGGTTGCTATGTTTAAAACAGGAATCACCATGAGAAGGTTGAGTATCCTCAATTTGTAAAGAGACTTTTTGAGACGCATGCATACACCTCAAGTCTCATGTGCAATAGCAATATTTGCAGGAATAACGAGCAGACTGATAGAAATCAAAATATTTTGATTTATCGTCACTCTTGTTCGCTTTTTTTCGTAAACAATCGGATTTTAGTCGGCTTCCATGCAAATTTCATTCTGTTTTAAGTCATGGAAGCGAAAATATCGTTTAAATGCACGCATGATTTTATTTTGTACTATATTTGCTGTATTTTTTGCTGATGAGTGTTCAAAATAATGTCCACAGTGCATGATGTGTGATAGCAAGCGACCAAGTTGTCGCATCAAGTATGATAATAATAGGTTACCTGATATTTGGTAGTCATGCTCTTAGATCGGTAGTTCTTCAAACAGAATTTTGAATATTGTTTAAGTTGTAGAGATGAAGGAAAGGAAGAGACCGTAAATATTGCAGTTGTTCAGCTCTGTTCAGAAGCAAAGTGATTTATTATGCAATTATGTCATCAGCTCTCTCTCTCTCTCTCTCTCTCTCTTTCTTACGAAAGTGTTCAGCATTAAGAGATAATATATTCTGCTCTATAAGAATGTAAGGTCTCGTCAGTTGTGATATCATAGTTCATTGTAGGGTCGATATGAGTTAGTAATTTTTAGTTAGTATGAGTTAGTGTAATGACTGTCGCAGTAATCACGACTTAAATCTAATCAATTTTTGTTGTATGTAATAATAATTGTTACATTTAATTATTATATGTAAATTTCAATACACAATATTTAATATAATTGCAGTTTTAACTGAATAACATAACATATTATGATAATCTAAAATTGTAAAATTAGATCAATTAAATAGTAATTGCTTTGATATTAACAACTGCAGTAAATTAGAATATATTACATTTAAATACAAGTTAAAGTACAATCATTTGTTTTTATGGAGTAGGGAAGTGCAAATTATATACTACAACATTTTATTGAATATCTCAACGCACATTTAGGATACTTGAAAATAT